TTAAACACGCTGAGCTACGACTGCAGTCGCGACTCACGCGCTTTCCAGCGCCCACGGCGCTCTGGGGGCGGGCTGGGGCGCGGCAGAGTCTCCGAAGAACAACATAAAGACGAAGGGAGAGAACTGAGAGAATGCAAATCATTGTAGAAAACACTGCGGATGCATTCTCTAGTTTGAACCAATAAAGAAGCGAATCTTAAACAAATCATCCAGTTGGTTAATAAGGGAGAAAAAAACACAATAGAGGCTTGGAAATTAATAATTTCAAGTAGTAATATAGGTATTACATTAGTATAACAACTAATAAAAGTCGTTTGCTTATCTAGTTCAACTGATTATTTGTACAAAGTTACTAACATATGTTGTATGTTGAAAATTTCTCGGAAAAGGCTACCAAAGCCGCAATTACTTGTACAATTGCAACGACGAAGAACTACGGATAGCGGTGAGGTTTCGGAAGAGGGCCATGGGGACATTTAAAATGAGCCACTATATGCCGAAGAAGGGAGTGTGTAGCCAATAAAAATCTTGATTCGAGAGAAGACATGAATGTAGGACACATTACGAGGCAGGAAAGGAACAAAAATGAAGCAAGAGAAGCCCGCCCAAAGCAGCGGCGAAGAAGAACCCCGAGCAGCAATGAAATTTCATGGCGAGTCAGTGCGTGATTGTTGCGGCGAGGGAGGGGGCGGAGACACAGGTGGGCGCGAGAGAAGCGCGCGGCAGCGACGGTCGATCGCAAATACACAAATATATTGGCGGAAAGCGCCAGCCCCGCCCCGCCGGAGTGACGCCTATCTCCCAGCGCCCGGACGCTGGCGGTATGCGAGGCTCCTTTCGTAGACCGCGGAGGCTCTCCGCCTCGCTCACGCCCTCCTAATACGCCGTCCATCGCCATCCCATTCCATCCAGCTCTCCATCATTCAGCGCACGCCCATGCCTCCCACCCCGTCCTCACCCCACCCCATTGCCTCTCTCTTCCATGTCCTCACGCTCCCACGCCGTCCCGCCCACGCATTCGCTCGACCTCCTGACGGCACGCCATCCCCGCCCGTCACGCTGCCCAAGACACCTCGACTCGCCGACGTCGACTTCGCCCCGCCCCCCGTCTCTTCCTCCCCATCCACGTCATCCCCGCTCGCCACACATTCTGCTCACCAAAACCCACCTCGTCAAAGCCTAAACTTATCAATCGACACGTCGAACACACCTCACCAACACTCCCTAAAGCCCACGTCACCGACACCCCAAGCTCATCTTACCAACACTCGAAAGACGAACCTCACCGGACACCCCAAAGCCCACCTCACAATACCCCAAAACACACCACACCAACGTCCAAGCCTCCCACACCAACAGTCCGCCCCCATCAGCCCCACGCCCCCACCATCACCAGCGCGTTTGTTCGCTGCAGATCGCCCGCCTCGCTCGCCCTGCCCGCCCCGCCCCTCCCCCGCCCCGCGAGCGCCAGGGCATGTGCCGCCCCCGCGCCTGCGCCCCCTCGCCCCCCGCCTCCCCTCGTTGTCCTCGCCGCCGCCGCAGCCGCGCGTCTCGGAAATCAATCGACAGCGGAGCGCCGGGATAAGAACGACGACGCGGTGGAGGGAGGAGCTGGGAGCGAGAGCGTCCCGTGCGACGGGGGGCGGCCAAGGACAGATGCCAGACCCCGACCCCAGAAAGGAGGCGAGGATGCGCCTAGAATGGGGATGACGAGAAGAGAGCTCGAGAATAGGGCTGAATTTCTTTTGTGGTTTGGGGGGGGGGTGTTTTTTTCTTGGTTTTATGGAGGATGCGGGTGTTGAGAGTTTTCACAGCTATCTCAGTATTTACATGTTTCCCCTCGTGTAACGAGAAAATGTCACATTTATAACTTCTGTGGTATCAGAGTTATTCAGCACATTTCATTGCTAATAGTTGGTCTTTCCTCGACGCCCCTACTTTAGAACAAATCTTAAACATTATTCGGGATACATTTTACTACTTTACAATTTTATATCAGTGCATAAACACACCCCATTTGGGACAAGTTTTGTAACGTTCTGCTCAAAGCATGCACTGCTTTGATTACATTTCAAATTGTATTCTCTGCGTCTGAATGTTTTATGCAAAAAAAGTACTGTCCTAAAAAAACATCAGCGGCGCGCTTAATAAATCATTGACTTCAAATAAATCGATGCTAATTTACGCCAGATGTTCTTATCAAAACATCATATAATGTTGACACATCGATCGGAAGTCGCATCCCCTAGATGTACAGTGCATGTGATAGGAAGTTGTAAGTAGAACAGCTTCACAATCACACAGAGTTCATTGTTCTCCGTGCGGAGACCAGCGCGCTAAGAACCGCTGGCCAAAGACATTTCTGGCGCTCCGTTGCGAAAACAAAACGATACTAGTTTGCGTTCCAAGAGCGAACAAAGCAACGAGGAATAACAAATGAATTCTGGAGGTGGCACAAATCTCACAACCACGATTATTGCTCAAGATTACTATTAAACTCTTAACCCTTTATTTCTTCACTTTCAATAGAGGCTAAGTGAACTAGTGAAAAAACTAACTATGAATTGTAGAAGAATAGATCACTTAGGGAAAACTGCAATAAATAGGAATTGAAAAAGACTGCACATAAAAAACTGTTTAGAATTATATTCGAGATTGTGTCAACAATTTCATTCTAATGATATCTGAGAGGGAGTTGCAATAATTAATTCAATGGTTGACTGTTCATCTGAAACTCAAAGGGGGTGAGAGAATTTTTTCTCAGTGGTTTGTTTCCAAACCCATTTTTTAAAAATCACACGTTAGCATAGCAGAATTAAAAGAGTTCCACAAAAGTACACATTTTTCAATTTAAGTTTAAATTAAAATATTAACCTGACAAAGCCTATGTTGAATTTCGAACAGAAAAATCTCACATAGGTCTGGAGATAATGACTTATTTATATATCGTATAGGAATCCCTGGAAATTTAATGTATTTTCAATGATATGTACTTATCGTACTATTCAGAGTGTATTAAATTCATAAAAACAGGAGAAAAATATATAAATTGAAGATAATTTGAGTGCACATTATTTGGGATAAAATTTACTAGTTAAGTTTCATATTTCCAAGTCAGTGCAAAAATTATTTTACCCAAAACATTCTAATGAAATATATTCTTCACCAATTACTTAAAATATAAAGAAAAATAAAATTTTAATAATATTTATTTTGAGACATTATATATCTTTGCAGGCACCTTGTGACAGAGAAGAGAAGGAAATTTGAGCAAAAAGTACTTGCACTTAGTGCAAAAAAACTTGAGTCTTTTCTTCAAATTCTTTGCCATTTAGGCCTTTTTTTACTACTTTCTGGAATTTGTTTATTGCAAATGCGTAAGTATTGACTCTGTTTTTTAATACCATTTGAATGTGACTCTTTGGAAAAATCTTCTATTGGAAATCTGGAGAGCCTCATCTCTGACAAGTTCAAAACTCAGATTCTTGAAAATGCAGCATATAAACTTTCAAGCCATTCATGCAATTATAAAATTACGAAAGAAAAAAAAGGCGAGATGTTTTTGTAATGTAGTTCCACACCTTAAGTTGTCTAGCGCAACTGTAGTTCTACTTCAACTTCCTCGCTCTATTGGTTTTTTAGATTTATTCTTTGTTGCCAGCTTCCCCTTTCCTATAAATCATTTTCATGTATTTAACCTCACGCTTATGTGTTCATTTCAGCCCACCCAAAAAAACGTCATATCCAATTGCCATTCTCTTCCTAACTAATATTCAATTGTTAGATCATATTTTTTTCAGTTAGATAAAAAATAAATTCTAGGGTTTATTAAGTTCTATAACAAATTGATTACAGTTAAAACTTCAATTAATAATGGAAATTACTCACTAGGAACTGTATACCACATTTTCTTGACGTCAATGTTAGCAGAGAGTCTACCGAACCCAGCGTTGTCTCAAATCATTTATTCTTCAAAACCATAGGAATACTTCAGTTGCTTTAGCAATACTATAATTAGAACAATCGGTTTATGCTACAACAGATCACTTTCACAGAGACTTCTGCTGAAGGAACAATGAATTAATTGAGTCTCATAAGACCCAGGCCTGAGCTCTTACGGTAATTAAAATGACTTCAAAATAAAAAATCACACAACAGGTGACATCTGTAAAATTGATCAAATGGCAAATGACAAAGAGATCATAGAACTTGATTCCACAACTTTAAAAACAAAAGATGGGAAATAACTTTTTCTCTGTACACCCTACTCTACAACTGAGCACACTATGATGCTTCTGCTCTTAGCAACCCTTTACCCTTGGACTTGTCTAGACGAACTTGTAAAGATATTCTGTCTTTGGTAGCCCTGGACGAGTTATACTCTCAGTCAGTTTTTAATGCTGGGAGCCTCAGATAGCATCGTACCGTGAAACTTTGCAATGTCCCGTGAGCCTCTAACGAGTTCGTTTGTGCAGATGTCTTTCAAAAAGGGCCTTTTATCACTATGATTTATTGATAAACTGAGAAGTCTGGCCAAGTATGAATGCCGAAAGCAACGTTTGGCTCACCAATTAGGGGCACACAGCGAGAAGCTTGATTGTAAGC